TTGCAATGAGGGACTGACTTGTGCTTTGTAGGATGTTTAGCAGAGTTTCTAGTGTCTCCTGTCAATGGTAGCAGCACCAGCTAGTTATGACAATGAAAGATCCAGGAATTGGATCTTTCCAATTTCCACTCCGGTTGAGAACTGCTGGCCTAATCTATTACTGCTCCTGACTTCGCTGGGAATACTTTTAGAATAAAATTATACTAGTATTTGTAGATTGCTGTTCAGGGCTAGGATACTAGAATGCTGTATCAAAGCTTGCTTTGCAAAGAGTGAAACCATGACTTCCATATGAATAATAAAGGAATGTGTATTAAATATTGTATTTGGATCAACAAGGGTAGTAGTAAAATGGTAAGGCTAGTTTAAGGAACATTTTGAGAAAAAATGCATGGGAAAAGTTATATTGAAATATGTGTTGAGGCCCTCCTTGGTGGCGCAGCGGGTTAAAGCACAGCACTGAGAAGCTAAAGCCACTTCTGCATGAGTTCGATTCCCACCTCCCCCGGAGGTGACCACATGGTGAGGCAGACCTCTCCTGACCCGCCTGCTGCTCCCCTCAGCGGTGTACTTCTTTGTAGATCTGCCTGTTCTGCTCCCCGCTCTGTATCTGGTGAAGCCTCTCGCCACCCCTGAGCCTCTGGCCTGTACCCCAGTTCTGTATGAATAAATAAATAAATCTTTAAAAAAAATTAAAAAAGGCCCTCCCTGGTGGCGCAGCGGGTTAAAGCACAGCACTGAGAATCTAAAGCCGCTTCTGCATGAGTTCGATCCCCGCCTGCCCCGGAGGTGACCACATGGCGAGCCAGACCTCTCCTGACCCGCCCGCTGCTCCCCTCAGCAGTGTACTTCGTCGATCTGCCTGTTCTGCTCCCCACTCTGTCTCTGGTGAATCCTCTCACCCTCCGCATCTCTGGCCTGTACCCCAGTTCTGTATGAATAAATAAATAAATCTTTAAAATAAAAAAATAAAAAAAAAATGTGTTGAGTGACAAAATGTGTTAATTCCTATAGGACAAAGGCACTGTAATCTTTGGGGTTATCTTTCCTAAGGACAGAAGCTTGTAAGTTAACATATATGTTAACATGGAGGGGAGCTACATTTTCTTCCTTTAGTGGAAGGAGGCAGCAGTGTCGCCCAGGAGTTTGCTGGAAATGCAAATATTCACATCCCATCCCAGGCCTACGTGATTAGAAATTCTGGGATTGGGGTCCAGCACCCTAAAAAACCCTACAGGATACTTGCACATAAAGTTTGAGTCACTGCTCTAAATAGTCAAATAACCTTTATTTGTGAAACAAATACCTGTAAGACAATGTTCATGTCGCTGAAAGGACACATCACCGCCTTTTGGCCACATTTTCAATTTAAATAATGTCTATTTGCTATTTGCTGTTTTGTTTCTCAAATACTCCATCAACTTAAGGCAGCTCTCATCTATTTTCACCTATGTTTCTTTTCCCTCCTTTTTTAGTTAGCAATGTTCTTCCAAAGCTATCCATTTTTCTCCTTTAACCTGTTAATGTAAGACACAAGTTGAACCATTCTTAGTCTTCATTTTTCCCCTTTGACTTGCTATAGTCTTTTAACAGAGTTTACTCCAACATGCAGATGCATGCGGTTTTTTTTTTTTAAGGAAATATGAAATGCTTCTCTTTTTTTCAAGATTTATTTATTTATGCACACAGAACTGGGGTACAGGCCAGAGTTGCAGGGATTGTGAGAGGATTCACCAGAGACAGAGCTGGCAGCAGAACAGGCAGATCATTGAAGTACACTGCTGAGGGGAGCAGTGTGCAAGACAGGAGAGGTCTGCCGTGCCATGTGGTCACCTCCCCTCCGGGGGTGGGGATCGAACTCTCATTGAAGTGGCTGCTGCTAGCTTTCAGAGCTGTGTTCTAACCTGTTGTGCCACCAGGGGGGGCCCAGATGTTTTTTTTTTTTAAAAAGCTCTTCATAAATGAGTTCAATTTTCAAGGGGCTTGGGAGATTTTTCATCTCCTAATTATGGAGCAGTTTGTCAGCACTGATTCCTTTGAAAGCTCGAAATCAGCTGGGCCTACGAAGTGATACCAGTGGCTGTGCCACTGTGTTGTTTGTAATTGTGCCAATGGAAAGGATTTGTCCAATTCTCACCATAGATATGATGATAAAAACTAAAAGGGAAATATAGCTGGGGACTGAGGTCCAAGACTACTGCAGGTGGTGCCCCTCCCTGAGGGCGCTGCTGTGAAGAAAAACAGCTCAGGGTAATGTTTAAAAGTGTGGATTTTGAGGAGGGGCTTCCTTGGAGAGAAAATAGGAGGGACTGGAGCTGAAAGGAGAGGGACAAGGAAATTTTTTTTTTTTTGGTTTGGGCTCCAGGATTCCAGGTTGGCATTGCTTCAGCATTTTGGGGGCCAGTGGAATGATTTGAGCCCCAGGACCCAGCTGATTTTTGGAGAAGGTCACTGTGGACCTGTAAAGGTGGAGGCCAGAAGAAGAGGCATTGCAAGTAGCCAAGGGACTGAAACGGTTCCTGGTTTTGCTGCAGACACAGCCTGGCTCAGCTGAGTGAGGCCTTCTGTAGGGTCATTTGGTGGCTGTGCCTGCTGTCCTGAGTGTCCCTTGTCTGGTGCTGTGCTGGAACCTCCTGCAGCTATGGGCAGGTCTCCTGTTGTGTTGTCTGCTGTCTTTGTGAGTTGGAACCCAGCCTGGAGTCTGGCTGCTGTGCGCCCCCGGTCAGCAGAGGCAGGAAGACGCCATCTTAGACACGTGGCTATTGTTGGGGAGAGGAGCTGCCCATCCTCAGTGGCGGGAAGGCGCCATCATATCAGTCTTTGTGTAGAACAATACTGGCCCACCTCTTTGGGTAAAGTAAGTGGCCGTTATTGACGTCAGAAACTCTTGCTTATCCCATTTGTTATATAAATCCCATTGTTGTTGTTTCCAGAGCCTGAGCAGTCTTGCAATTGTGTGTGCAGGTGAAGAACCCAGACAAAATTTGGTAAAGCATTTGGGCAGTGGGGCTTTGGTCAGTTTAGGGTCCCCTGCCACACGGTGTCAGAGATGGTTGGGACATGCAATTGGGAGATCTCACACTGTTCAATTCTTCTATGGTTATTAGTGTATTCTTCAGGATATCCTTGTTATTGCTTTGGTTTTTTGTTTTTACCTCTTCAAAATATCGGGAACTTACACTTGGAAATATATAAATATTGGGAAAATATTGAAAAGTTAAGTTTTCCTGCTATCCGTTCTCAAAATCACCAGTAAGGAGACTAACATAATCACAAACCTATTGTAACAGGGTGGGGACTGGAACCTGGAACCTCCCCTTTTCTGTGTCCCTCCGTGCCATGTGCCTCCCTCAGGTCTCCTGTGGCTCCCCAACCTTCTTCCTGGAACCTCTCCTTTTCTTGGGGACCACCCTGTTACACTATTAGATAACGAAAAATTGTTGATCTTATTGTGGGTGAATCCATAGGGAAAGTTTTTCTGAGGATGTCCATTGTGGCAATTGTTTTTGCTAGGCACTAAGGGAGATGCATCACAGTGAAGGCACCCGAAGAACTGGAATGAAAAAGATAATGTGGGGGTACTGAAAACTGTAAGGCCAAGGCAAGGCTGGGGTAGGAAAGAGGAACTTAAAACTGCTGCGACCTGCATTCCGGAACCAACTCTGCCCGGCTTACACAACAGTCTGAAAAAAGTAACTTAGATGCCTTATAAAAAGCTTACCCTTATCCCCCAGGTGGGACTTCTCCAAAACAACCCCCCCTCCCCCCTCCCCCCATCGGAGCACAATAAAGCTGTTGCTTGTCAAAAATTTTGCCTGGATTTTTTTCTTAACCACCAACTGTATTAAAAACGTGCTTCCTTCCGTGAGTGCTGGTTCTGTTACAGGGCAGGGAGAGGGACACGGCTGAACCCACAAACCTGCCTGCTCTAGGTAGGGTCTGTCATCCACCGCACAATACAAAACATATAAGACCATTAGGAAAGGAACTTTAATACAATTAATGTGTAACAGAGAAGAGACAAAGAATATAGTTTCTAAATCAAACATCCACAGTTACCATCCTCTCTTGGGTAAAAGTCCACCCAAAAAAGGCTTGGCCCAAAGCAAGGCGTGAAAGCCCGCCACAAGCCTAAAGCACCTTCCGGTGGGGACCCATTGAAATGGGGCAGAAATGGCCAGACAAGTCTGAGAGAAAAAGAGCAAAATCAAAATCAAGATAAATGCTGCCATGGTGAACCTCCCCACTGGGCCTCTCACCCGCATCTGTTTCAAGCGGTCCAGGGCCAAGAAACAATAGCAGCTTCTTCACATGTCTCTCTCCTCCGCGTGCCTTCCTCAGGTCTCCTGGCTCCACCCTGCTTCCTTCTTCAGCAGACTCCAGATTCCTCTCTTCTTTCCTCAGCTCCACCCTCCTCCTGGGCGGGGCAGGGAACCTGGAACCTCCCCTTTTCCTGGGGCCCACCCTGTTACAGTTCCAGAGGGCCGGGCAATTTTGAAAATGTATTAAGTTCTGCACTTACAACATGTGCAGCCATCTTTATGTCTATTATATTTTAATGAAGATCTTGAAACACACCTTCCGCTACACCTACAAAGACTGACGGAGTTTATCAGTGGAAAACCTGGCAATGACCAGAAAGTGCCCGCCCCCCCC